TTGTACCAGGAGACGTACAAAATACCGAGACTGTTGTGTCAGGTATCCTCTCTATTTGTACTCAAAATGCTTATGTACTAATTGATTCAGGGTCTACGCATTCATATGTATCGCATGCTTTTTCGCCAAAATTGAATAGACCATGGGAACCCATGAATTACTTGTTAGCTGTATCTTCACCTGTTGGGGGATCTATGACTTGTGCTTATATGTACCCTGCATGTGAAATTATTGTTGGAGAGGCAGATTTGTATATTGATTTACTGCCATTGAATATTGACCATTTTGATGTAATGTTGGGGATGGACTGGTTAACGAAATATCATGCTACCATAGACTGTGTAACGAAACAAGTAGTTTTCTGTCCACCTGGACTGCCCAAATTTGTGTTTAACGGAGTAGGAGTAGTACCTCTCCCATATCTGATTTCATCTATGAAAGCTTGTAAACTGATTAGAAAGGGGTGTAAAGGGTACCTATGTTCTGTATTGACCGTACCTACTGATGATAATACTGATGTGAACAATATTCCTATAGTCAGAGCATTTCCAGATGTTTTTCCAGATGATCTGCCAGGGGATTTGATTGACAGGGAGATTGAGTTCATCGTTGATGTGATTCCGGGTACATAGCCAGTATCTAAAGCTCCTTACCAAATGGCTCCGATTGAACTGAAAGAATTGAAAGTGCAACTGCAAGAACTGTTAGATAAAAAGTTCATCAGGCCCAGTACTTCGCCATGGGGCGCACCTGTCTTATTTGTGAAAAAGAAAGACGGCTCACTAAGACTTTGTATCGACTACTGTGAACTGAACAAGGTAACTGTGAAAAATAAATATCCATTGCCACGTATTGATGACTTATTTGATCAGTTACAGGGTGCTCAAGTGTTCTCTAAGATTGATCTCAGATCCGGTTATCATCAGCTGAAAGTTAAACCATTGGACATTGTCTATTTACTATTTTGGCTTCCGCTAGCCCCTGTACTCTATATTATTGTATTAATGTTAAGCAGGCCTTCGGTAATCTCGGATTACTGGCCGGTTACGGTGCTAAACCCATAGGGGCGGGTTTGGGTTGTGACAACCTCCTCCATAGCACATTGTCCAGACCTCAGCTGTGGACTACACTAACAGTACCACATACTTAGAGATACTTGTGCGGCTCACTGGGCGGTAGTTTTGGAGATATGACCACAGTGTACCGACCTACGTGGTCCAGGTAGTTTGGCGCTATTTTGGGATTGAGCTCAGTAGATGGGAGTTTGAGTCCCTCGTGCAACAGGAGTTCCCATGGCTGTTCCACGGCCCAGTCTTCTAGAGCCAGTTTTCGTGGGGGTTCAATGATCTATTCTAGGAGCATGACCGAGAGATGTCGCTGATCTTTTTTTTGGAGCTGACAATGACTAGTTTAATCCTTATATTTTTGCATCAGTAGGATTAGACATTAACTCTTGACGACTAGACTAACGCCTTATGTATAGTAACAATGATGTATATATGATGTTTTATGTGGTATTAATGTGGTAATATTAATGTGATAGTAAAACTAATATTTTTTTGGAGCTGACAATGACTAGTTTAATCCTTATATTTTTGCATCAGTAGGATTAGACATTAACTCTTGATGACTGGACTAACGCCTTATGTATAGTAACAATGATGTATATATGATGTTTTATGTGGTATTAATGTGGTAATATTAATGTGATAGTAAAACTAATAAAACTAATACGTTATATATGAAGTTGTATCAAAGTTGTATCAATGTGATGTCACGCTTATATCATTTTACTTTGTAGTAATGGCCAACGATGGAAATGAAATCGGATCATCAGTTAGCGGTACCATCCCAGTGGAGCAAATCATAGAAAAAGCAGTCACCAACTTTTTGCAGGCTTTGCAAACCAGCATAACCAATGGGACACCAGAGAGACGAGAAGAACCGACTACGATTAAACAATTTCAAGATCTGAAACCCACCATGTTTATTGGCGGTCTAAACCCACTAGTGGCAGAAGCTTGGGTTAGGTTCTGCCAGGGTTAGGGATATGGAGAAAATCTTCTGCATGCTACCTTGCACAGAGAGACAGAAGGTAGCCTTTGTCACGTTCACCTTCAAAGACGATGCACAAGAATGATGGCTTCTTACGCCGGAGAAAGAAGATATTGTGACTTGGGCAAGATTCTTGGAGGTATTCTATGAAAAATACTTTCCAGATTCGCTGCGGGAACAAAAGGCGGTAGAATTCATATATTTAAGGCACGGAACCATGACAGTGGCCGAATACGAGAGCAAGTTCACACAACTGACTCGATTTGTGACATACATTATTCCCACCGAAGCTCGAAAAGCCAGGAAATTCGAAGCAGGATTGGATGCTGAAATCAAGGACAGACTGGAGGTTTTGAAACTACCAACCTATTCGGAGGTGGTGGATCGAGCATACATTACGAAAAAATGGATTAAAGCCTTGCGCTCCAGGGAACCAAGCTAGAGGAAGCAATTTTGGGAAAGAGATAACAAAAGACCCAGTGTCGTGCCTCCCAAGAGGATAAATACGGGCACAACCAGTTCAAGCAATTAAGGTCCTACAAATCGCAGAGGTGGCACCATTCTAGCTTGCTTTACTTGTGGAAGGACTTATTGGGGGCAATGTCGTCGAGATACGGGAGCATGCTTTAGATGTGGCCAAGTTGGCCACTTACTGAGAGATTGTCCAAAGCTTGCCAGTCCTACAGCCAGCCCCTTTGAACCAGTCTGAAAACCCACGGTACCTGGAGGAGTGAGAAAGGACCAAAAAGGCCAAGGAAGAGCTTTTGCCTTGGTGCTTGAAAACTCAGAAGTTACTGAGAATGTCGTGTCAGGTACACTTTTTGTTTGTGGTCACTTAGCTCATGTTCTCTTTGACTCTGGTTTAACTCATTCTTTTGCAACACCACACTTTGCTACCAAGTTAACATCAGCACCTGAACCCTTAGGATATATACTATCTGTGTCTTTTCTTCTAGTAATTCTGCCCTTAGTGCTGATGTGTACAAATCTTGTACTGTATCCTTAAAAGGTGAAACCTTACACGTCGACTTGATTCCCCTTTGCATTAGTACCTTTGATGTGATCTTAGGAATGGATTGGTTAGCTGCCAACCATGCCTCTATTGATTGTGAAGCCAAAAAGGTCTTCCTCCTGTCACCAAACTAACTCAAGCTTGTCTTCGATGGAACTGGAGTCTCTCCCCCTCCATGTGTTATATCCTTCATGACAGCCCAACGACTTTTAAGAAAAGGTTGTTGTAGTTATATCTATTATGTGATCAATACTCAACAAGAGGCCCCTACACTTGATGTAATCCCTGCGGTTTGAGAATTCCCAAATGTAGTTCCTGAAGACCTACCTAGTACCCCAGTTGACCGAGAAATCGAATTCACCATTGAAACCCAACCTGGTACCAATCTCAAAGGCCCTTTACCGCATGTCCATGACAGAATTGAAAGAACTAAAGACCCAACTCCAGGAACAACTGGACAAAGGCTTCATCTGACGAAGTACCTTACCATGGAGAGCTCCGGTACTGTTCGTAAAGAAAAAAGATGGTACGATGAGGCTATGTATCGATTACCGGGAGCTGAACAAAGTCACCATCGAGAATCGATATCCTCTACCACGAATTGACGACTTGTTCGATCAACTAAAAAGGTAATTTGGGTTAAAATGTTATATTCTAATGTTAAAGGACTTTTGCAACTGGATGTGGAGGTTGTTTTTGCCAATAGGATCGGACCGAAACCATGAGGCGGTGAGTGGTGGTGATGTGTCGGAGGTGGTGAAGTTTCCGGCGACGTTGGTGGTGGTTGGCGGTGGTGATCCGTTACAGGACTGGCAGAGGAGGTACATTGAGGGGTTAAAGCAATCAGGGAAGGAAGTGAAGTTGATTGAGTATCCAAACGCCATCCATGGCTTCTATATCTTTCCTGAATTGCCCCAACTTTGGTACCTAATTGCAGAGGTCAGGGACTTTATTCAAAGCCAATCTGCTAGAAATGCTTAGAACCCAACGGCTACTGCAGACTTGTTAGGGCTTGGATATATAAACTCGAACTTTCCTCAGGCTAGTTATTCTGGTTACACTACATGCGGTAGCAGGCACGGAACGTAGTGTAGGTCTACAGGGACCGTGGCCCCCCTGTTGTGAAAGAAGCATGGTTGTGATGCATAGAATTGGTTTAACACTTAATTCTCATGTTCTTAATATTTTTTTTAACATCTCTTTATAATATAATAATAGAATGCTATATAAATTTTTGTAATGAAAAGTTAAAATACTTGTAGTATTATTTTGTGATAAAGTTGAATTTATAATGGGTAGGGGTGTAAATTGGGTTCGACCCATGTTAGGCCATTTGGTTCCAACCAAAATTCAAGTCACGAGCCAAAAAGTTATACACATGCCTAGGAATATTCGAGTCTTGGGCGGGGTGGGCCAGAACATTTAAAATTTTTTTTTTCTATTTTTCTATCAAAATTTTATTCTTTTCTACTAAAAATGACACTAGGTCTTGAATTCTGGACTGCAGAGGAACCAATGTATAATGAGAATAACTCATTTCTATATCACTATCTATTATATCATTTTATACGTTATTTTGTGGGTCTTATCTTAAATTCATATTAATGATTTAAACTGTTTATTTCGTAAGTTCAACAATAAAGATTAATTGTATAAAAAAATCAATTTTTATCAAATGTCACTAGACATATGCATAAATTAATCTTATTTTTGAAATGAATGTCAACTATAATTATTTATTCTATAAAACAAAATGTGATTTGTTTATTTATTTATCAATATGTGTTGAAATTAATATTTTGTACAGATAATTTTTATTAAGAGATGAATAGTCCATATCACTATTATGAGTAATATATATATGTGAATAAATAAGGAAGTAACCATCTCCATGTATAATTGACCTTTCATTTGGATTTTCCGGTCTTCCTCTGGCAGTGGTCACATAAAAAAATCACTTTACATCATTGTGTGGAGGAGGAAGGATTGAGGAATGGGCGTTAAACACAATTCATGTGGTGCTGCTGAGCTTCTATGGAGGACACGCCTATTTGTCCACTTCGGTTCTTTCATACTCGACGCCTGTCGTCTATCCCACCTCATCCTCCACTTCCTCCGCAACGTTGACCTCAAATCTCCACCCTCCTCCAAACCCATCAATGGAGTCTCCTCCTCCGACATCAACGTCGACCCTTCTCGCAATCTCTGGTTCTGACTCTACCTCCCCCCTCCACCACCACCCTCTACTCATCTACTTCCATCGCGGCGGATTCCTCATCTCCGCCGCCAATTCCAAAATCTACGATCATCTTTTCCGCAACCTCGCCGCTCAACTCCAAGTCACCGTCGCCTCCATCAACTACCGCCTCGCCCCCAACCACCGCTACCCTTCCCAATACGATGACGGTTTTGAAACCCTCAAATTCATCGACGCCCATGACTACGCCGTATTACCCTCCAACATTGATCTCAACCGTTGTTTTCTTGCCGGCGACAACGCTGGTGGCAACATAGCCCACCACGTGGCAGTCAGATACGGCCGACACGAGTTTGAGAAGCTGAGTATTATTGGTTTGGTGGAGATACAGCCGTTCTTCGGTGGAGAAGAGCGCAGTGAATCGGAACTCCGGCTCAGTAGAGGTCCATTTCTGAATGTGAAACGAACCGACTGGATGTGGAGGTTGTTTTTGCCAATAGGATCGGATCGAAACCATGAGGCGGTGAGTGGTGGTGATGTGTCGGAGGTGGTGAAGTTTTCGGTGACGTTGGCGGTGGTGATCCGTTACAGGACTGGTAGAGGAGGTACATTGAGGGGTTAAAGCAATCAGGGAAGGAAGTGAAGTTGATTGAGTATCCAAACGCCATCCATGGCTTCTATATCTTTCCTGAATTGCCCCAACTTTGGTACCTAATTGCAGAGGTCAGGGACTTTATTCGAAGCCAATCTGCTAGAAATGCTTAGAACCCAACGGCTACTGCAGACTTGTTAGGGCTTGGATATGTAAACTCGAACTTTCCTCAGGCTAGTTATTCTGGTTACACTACATGCGGTAGCAGGCACGGAACGTAGTGTAGGTCTACAGGGACCGTGGCCCCCCTTTTGTGAAAGAAGCTTGGTTGTGATGCATTGGTTGTGATGCATGGAATTGGTTTAACACTTAATTCTCATGTTCTTAATATTTTTTTTAACATCTCTTTATAATATAATAGTAGAATGCTATATAAATTTTTGTAATGAAAAGTTAAAATCCTTGTAGTATTATTTTGTGATAAAGTTGAATTTATAGTGTGTAGGGGTGTAAATTGGGTTCGACCCATGTCAGGCCATCTAGGTTCCAGCTAAAATTCAGGCCACGAGCCAAAAAATTATAGGCCCAAGGGTATTCGAGTCTTGGGCAGGCTGGGCAGAACATTTTTAATTTTTTTTTCTATTTTTCTATCAAAATTTTATTCTTTTCTACTAAAAATGACACTAGGTCTTGAGTGAGCCAATGAGTCGGGTTAGGTGGTCCGAGTTTCAAAATGACGGCCTAGGCTCAGGGTCTCAGGCTGGGTTGGGGCCCAGACCTAATGGGGTTGGACCCATCCCGAGCCACGGGTGGGTTTCAGGCCACCCACAGGTTGCGGACCATTTTTACAGCCCTAATAGTGGGTATTTCTAAAGTAAAATTTATGAATTATTGCAGTTATGTTATGAATGGTTATAGTGATCCCGGTTTTCCCTTCATTGTTTAATTGTATTCTGGATTCGGTTCCGTGGATGTGTTGTTGTCTTATTCCCGTTTCCGTCCTTTACTCTTTGTATACAAGTCTTGGGTCGTGTTGGGTAGGTTTGAAACAGGTTGGTTGTGTTTGGAAACCAAGGGTTGATGTCCAGATTTTGGGTTTGACGCTCAAGCGGACCTGTTTGTATATCAGTCCGAAAAACAGCTTTTTGGATCACTTTTTCAGGCCATTCTCTCTCTCTAACTTTTTGAAGCTTATGCATGATTATACTAGATTCATCTCATTAAGTAAGATTCATGTACATCAATTAGATGGTGACTAATCATTGATGAATGCACCTATATATATACAATGTATTGAAGACTAATGCTAATACATTGAATGTGATGGATTTATTATGAATGAATCTTAGAGATGCATTATGTATCTATTTATATGTAAGATACATTAATCTATCTAATGAATTCATTAATATAGAAGATGCATTATGTATCATGAATGTATGAGATACATTAATCTATTTAATGAAGTTCATTGAATGAATAACTTGAGAGTTTCTCTCTCTAGACTACATCTTCTCTCTATAAATACATCTAGTTCTAGTGATCTTCTACCCTAGTTCCTTTGTATTGAGTGTGGAGCTTCCCTTGATCTTCATTTTAATCTGAAAGTTTGGCGATTTGGAGCACTTTGGTTTTTGGCCTTCATCTTCTCCATTTGAGGTAGGGATTTCTTTGTTCTTTTTCAATACTCCGTCTATAGATAGACATGTGGTAATTTTGTATTGCATGAAAATCATATCCGTGTTGGATTTGTTTTAAAATCATGAGGGGAACCTAGGGTTGGTTGTTGAAGAATGGTTTTGATGCGCCGAGTCCGGTGCATGCAAGACAGATGAATGAATGCAAACATGCAAGCATAAGGATGCTAATCAA